TTCTTTAACAATTTCATCAAATTGATATTCATCGAGTTTTTTAATATCTTTAGGAACTCCTTTTTGTCTTATTTTTCCAAATTCAAGTAGTAAAATTTGATTGCAACTGTGAATAAACTGGAGCTGGTGAGTTACTAGCACTCTGGTTTTTCCTTTTAATAATCCACAAATTACATTATCAAATAAATGTTTACCAACTTTAGGGTCTACAGCAGATAATGGATCATCTAGTACATAAAATTCTGCTTTTGTGTATACTGCTCTTGCTAAAGAAACTCTTGCTTTTTGTCCACCACTTAAAGTAGTTCCACGTTCACCAACTAATGTAAGACATTTGTTTTCAAGCATTTCAAAATCTCTGTCTAATGAACATGCGCTGACAACAGTTTTAAACCATTCTTCATCATATGGAAGTCCAAAAATGATATTATCTCTAATGGTTCCACCAAATATCCATGGCGATTGGGATGAATAAGCAACTATGGAGTGGTGTTTGTTGTTATTTTCAGGTGTATTAGTTTCTTTATTGTTGTTTTTTCCAAAAAAGTGTAAATTTTCTGATTTTCTTTTGAAATTTCTGTGTATTTTTCCAGAAACTAAATGCATTTCCCCTAAAATTGCACAACAAAGAGAAGATTTCCCACTTCCGACTGGCCCAACAATGCCACATAGTTCGCCTCTACTGATAGTGAAATTCAAGTCTTTTAATATTACTTTTCTGTTTTCTGAAACAGTAGTATCTTGATTCTCTGAGCCGTTATAGCTTGTAGATAAATTTCCTAAAGATCCAGAGTTTTGACTTTGATTTGAAATCGAAATGGAACTTTGTTCTTTTGGGTTAATAACGGGTTTATTGGTTTTCGGGAAAGAGTATAGTGTGTTTTCAGTTTTCGTTTGCAATTTTTGTAATGTTGATTGGTTTTTCCAACTAAAACTAGCGTTTTCTAAAATTAAAGCAGTATTTTCAGAGTTTATATTTGGATTGGAATCATTTGGGGTTGGATCAAATGGATTTTCATTTTCGGGCAAACCTATAGGTTTGGTACTAGGGAGCAAGAGGAATTTTTCAATTCTTTCAACGCTTACTTTCATTTCGCCGTAATATTCAAATGCTTTTGGAACAAAAAGAGTTATTGTTAGACCCATTGTACTAAATAAAGTTACGCAGGGAAATATATTTTCAGGTTGGAATGAACCTTTTCCGCCAAAATTGTGTCCAAGTTGTAGAACTACTAACATCCATAAAGTTGAAAATGTGCAAAGTTGGACAATTTGTGAAGATACGGAGAATAAGGCTTGATTTATTGCTTTCAATGTATTCGATCTTTTAAGGCTTTTGTATTCCAGCTTTCTAAGGTTTATGATTCTTTTGAGAAGAGGGAATTCCCAGGAGTTGAGTTTAACAATTTCAATGCCACTAAGAACATCAGTTAGTAATTTTATTCTGTTGTCACGGAATTTGACAGTATTTGATCTTATTTTTCTAAAGAGCCTGGAAACATAGCTTTGAAATGGAACCATTAAGAGGTATACACCAACAGCTACTAGGCCTGATATCCCAATATTTAACCATAGAAAACCTATTGATAGAATAAGTTCGATGGGACCTAGCCATAAAAAGTGAAGAAAGGATATTCCAGTTTCAAATGGTTGTACATCATTGGAAATAATATTAATGGCTTCACCGGTGGATACCATTGAAGAGGAAGAAATGGTTATAGCTTTTCTGAACAAGAGGGCAATGAGTCCGACTCTTACTTTGTATCCTACTCTTGTGCAGGGAAAGTAAAAATGGTGTTGAAATATGCTTTGGAGGAGAGCAAAACAACTTAGAGCAGCAGCGTATATAAGGCCTTCTTTGACAGGTTTTTCTGGGTTTCTGAGGAATTTGATGAAGAAGCCAAGGAAAACAGCAACCAAGATTTTGAATATAGATTCCATTAGGCCAAGAATACCTATAAGGATGAATTCTCTACCAAGAACTCTGTAAAAAGTTACCCATAAAGAAGGTTTTCCTTTTGCTAGAAGTTCGTTCCAAACAATTTCAAATTTCTTTGAGATTTCACCTGAATCATCACTTTGCATAAGTTCAGGTAAAATTTCCGGAGTAATTTTACCTTCAAAACGACCATAGTTCCAAACCAGATTTGTTACCCAGCCAAAAGTTAGTCGTTGCCATATAGTAGCATCACCAATACCATTGATTCTTCCGTTTTCTTTTACGTTTTTATCCAAGTGATTCTGGTGTTTTATTGGGTTTTTCATTTATGGTTTGGAGTGGATTTGAGTTTTCGAGTCAAAAGGTGAATAGTGGGGAAAAGTTTTTAAATTGTTAAATTTGGCTTGGAATGTAGAAGTTTGGGTGTGGAAATCATTTGCCATTAGAAGGTAAATGAGAACTTTTAGA